TCCATACCTTCATTGTGATTACAATTAGAATTAACTAAAATATTGTATAGTTATAACAGTCTACTTCAGCTAATCAACCTCAATTGCATATAAAAACTACATTATTAATTTTCTCCATAGACTTTATATTATTAATATCAAAATTTACATCATTTTGCATTGTGTAATCATGAACATATTTTATATAATTGTTTTAAAAATTTTTGTCTTTAACTTTTATACTAGAATTGAAAAAGCAATTTCCACAGTACTGTTACAATGTTACATTATTCTGTACTTATTTATGTATTTACCTTTAGCAGCAAGTTTTATACTTCCATATGCATTGATGGTGCTTCTTAGCTTTTTTTTTTTTTCCAACTTGAAGAATTCTCTTTTTTAACATTTCTTGTAAGATTGATCTTGTAATAATAGACTTTTTCAGGTTTGTTTGGGTATATCTTTATGTCTCTTCGATTTTAAAGGACAGTTTTACCAAGTATTGTATTCTTGGTTGGCAGTTTTTACCTTTCTGCATTTTGAAATATTCCACTGCCTTTCAAAGTTTCTGCTGAAAAACCCAGTGACTGTCTTGGGGAAGTTCTCTTCTATGTGACGTGTCCCTTTTCATTGGCTGATCTCACAATTCTCTTTGTGTCTGACTTTTCACAATTTGATTGTAATGTCTCTCACTGTGGAATTGTTTTGTTCCTCTTATTTGGATTTCCTAAATGTAGATATTCCTTTTTTTTTCCAAATTTCAGAAGTTTTTTTTCCATTATTTTTTTGAGTAAGTTTTTGTCTTTGTCTTTTCTTTCTTGGACATTCATAATTGTAAATATTGGTTTATTCAATGGTGTCCTATAAGCCACCGAGATTTTTCTTTATTCTTTTTCACTTTTTTTTTCCTATTATGCCATTGACTGGCTTATATCAAATGACCTGTCTTCAAATCCAGTGATTCTTCTGCTTGATCTAATATGATGTTTTGATGTAGATTGAATTTTTCTATTGAATTTTTTCATTTCAGTTACTGTTTTCTTTCAGGTCAAGAGTTCTTTTGGCTCATATGAATCTTTGCTAAAATTTCATTTTGTTCATGCATTTGTCTCCCAAGTTCATTTTGAACACTGCCAGGAAATTCATATGTTATGTGTCGGTAAAATTGGGGTCTTGGAGTTTTATCTTGTTCCTTTTGGACAGGCATGTTTTCCTAATTGTTCATTTTCCTTGTCTCTTAGTGTCAGTACCTGAACATTAGAACAAACAACCATCTTTTCCAGTCTTCATGAACAAGATTTGTATACAACAAGATCCTCAGTAGGAAGCCCTGCCAGGGACCTTTCAAACTCTCTGTATATGTGTCTTTGCTGGATTTATTTGCGTAAACTGCCAGTTAGGAGATTTGCCTGTTTCTTTTATCTTTCTTTCTTTAATTCACAATCTTTTGATGCTTCTATTTTCTGTCTGTGGTATCACTAGTTTTCTGATGCAGCAGCACACCAGGACTCCTTTGAGTTCTCAGAGGCACACAGACATCTAGATTATACCAGGTCTCATGAATGCTCTGAAAATGGTAAGACTGAAGCCAGTTCTGATATTTGGCATATGTTTCTTTCTCCTCTCTTCTTCCCAGAGATAAGCCAGACTCTGGGATTCTCAATGATTATTTTGTGCTGACCAGGAGAAGGGCTCTGGCAGATGACTGCATAGTAGTCCAACCTTTGCCTTTATTCTCAGTGGCCCGCATGCATCTAGAATATGCTGGGTCCCATCAGTGCTCTTAGACAGGTGAGATAAAGTCAGTCCCTTATACAGCCTCTGAAAATTTTGGAACATTGCATACTTGATCCAGCTCTTTCCTTCCAAAGAGAAGCTGAGATTTTGTGATTTCTTTACCCACTTTATCATACAATGAAGACAGCTTATGATAATTACTTACATGATAGTCTAATCTGCCACCTTTTCCCCCAATAGCTAACAGGTATCTAAAAAATGTGCCAGGTCCAATCAGTGCTCCAGGAGAAAATAAGCCAGTCTCTCTGGCAGCCCCTGAAAAAGTTGGAAACTTACACATACAGTCCAATCCTTTTTCTCTTCAGGAACTGGAATTTGGTAGTTTTTAACCTTCTTCTTTTTCTGCTCTACTGAAGTTGAGAGTCTATAGCAGGTGCTTGCTTGCTCGTCCAAGCTGCCACCTTTGTTCTCAATGTCTCCTAGATTTCCACAGCATGCCAGCTTCTAACTTGCTTCAAGATAGGTGAGAAGGAACCAGTCTGTTGGGCAGAAGCCTATCCCTGGAAAATTTGGAATGTTGTACACAAAATCCATCTCTTTCCCTCCCCATGAAGAACCTGGGATTTGGGGGTTTCAGCAGTGCACTCTGTGCTGAGCCCTGGGGAGGTACCATAAGGAGTACCTGCTTGATAGATATCTTCCGTACTGCTCTTTTTGTTCTCATCCAGGGTCCCTTCTTTTCAGGGTTCAGATTCAGGTAAGAAGTAAACCAGTCCCTTGGGAAACCCTCAGGAAAGTCAGAAAATTGGACTTGGATGTACAGATCAGACCCTTCCTTCCTCCCTGGGAAGAAGCTAAGTGCTGCAGGTTCCTAGCGGTCGTTTGGCACTGTGTTGGGAAAGGGATTATGTTGTGAGGGTTTTATGGATTTTGCTGCCAGCTTCAATGTAGTTAGCTTCATGCTTCTCTCGTGAGAAATCTGGTTTTTGATTTTTCACAAAGGGAGTCTATCTCTGTGTCTTTGCATCTTTGTGTCTTGGGGAGGCAGGAAGGAAAGGCCAGAACTTCCCATACCATTTCTCTGAGGTCACCTCCCAGTTTTTCTTTCTGCTTAGCTTTTTTTGCTTTCCTTCTGCCTTCTCCCTGCAGAGCTGCATTTCCTCCCAACACTGTCATGTTACTGGGCTAGTTTACCTGCCTTATTGCATCCAGCACGATCAAATCCCAGGTAGATCTGTCACAGGCTCATATTCACACACATGTTTATTAATACTTACCAATCTGAATTTGGCAGTATTTACAAATATGTTTCTCTGCATCTTTTGACTCAGTAACACATTTTGGGAAATTTTCTTGAGTTACAAGATATAGTTCCATTTTATAATGGTTATGTAATATTCCATTATGAAACTGCTTCATTATTTTCTTCTTTTTCCTATTGAGGGTAGTTATCTTATTTCTACTTTTTCCCACTACAAATATTTGCACATGTTTTCAGATACTGAGGCTTTTATTTTGATGGGATAAAGTTTCTAGAGTAGAATTTCATAGCCAAAAGATTTCTCATAGTTTTAAGTTTGAATAAATGTCACATTGCTTTCCTCATATTGTAAGAATATAATTTACCCACAGAATGTGACAATGCTTACCAATCATGTCCCAGCCAGCCATGTGTGTTAAGCACCATTTAGACTTTGCCAGCTCAGTGGAGTGAAGGAATGTCTCTTTCCTAGTTCATGCTTATCTGATTATTGGCAAATTAATCTTTGGGCATATTTATTCTCCATTTGGATTAGCTTTTCTGATCATTGTTCATTTTTATTTTTTAAGTTTTTTTACATTTTCTTCTCAGAGGATTATATTTGATAGATAACCTTACTTTTCAGATTTATCAATTTTCCATTTAATATTTTAGGATACACTGAGTGTATATATATATATATATATATATATATATATATATATATATATATATATATATATAGTGCGTGTGTGTGTGTGTATTTATTTATTTATGGTCAATATACCTGTGTATTTCTTCATAGCATTGGAGTGTTCTGTCTTTGGTATGCTTCTAAAATGACAGAATCTATATAGTCTCATGGATTTTATTGCAAAATTTTAAATTAGATATCTTTATTTAAAGTCTTTGGTTAACTGAAATGTATTCTTTATGTGATATAAGATATAGACACATTTTTATATTATACCTCTGGATACCCATTTGTTCCTGTGCTGCTTGCTAATACAACTTTCTCCACAATGAGTTGAATCGTAATCTTCAGAACATACTAACTGTGCATATGTTCTCTTTTTGTGGCTTAATTATTCTGTACATTAGTTTGTCTAATTGTCTATACCAGTGCCACATTGACTAAATCTGGTGATTTGGTAGTATGTTTTGGTATCTGGTAAGTTTTATCTAACTGTTTTTCTTTGAATGATACATTTTGGAGAGGAAGGGCAATTTTGAGACATGTATTCTTCCATGTGAAATTTGTGAAAATATATGTAATTCCAGGGGAAAAACTCTTCTTGTTTTTATTTTATTTGAATTAAATTTTTTATTCTGAAACACTCTGAATAAAAATAAATTTGGTCCTTAGAACAAGAGAGATAATCCAGAGATTAAAAACCCCCTCTAAAACATAAATACATGAAACAAAAGCATCTTATAAGACAGATCATACCTCAGCTGGAGCAACTAAGTGGCAATGTGGCCTAAGGGTCTGTGAATGCTTCTGAGAGGAGGCCAGCATGCCTCTTGGGACATCTGACCTATCAACTTTTTCTCAAGATAAATAGAAGCACATGTCCTACGTGAGATGTAGAACCTGTGGTCGGAGTGACCCCATTATTAGCATATTTATAGAATCAGTACAAGAAAGGAACTGTTCTTGGAGTAGGTGATCCTCAATGCCATCTTCCCATTGGGTAAGGTTATCTGGACAACTCAGGGAAGGAAAGTTGACTCATCTATTATCCCAGTTCAGCATAGGGATGGAGTGAATGTGGCTTGAGACTCTCTTATAGATGCGGAAGAAACAGGGAGGATGGAATTTTCCTAAGATTCAGACTGAGGAATAGGTTCAGTTATAACAGTGCCTTGATTTGAAGGACCTATCTCGGAAATATCATGGATTTTTGATGGGATAGCCTAATTTTTAAAGTCTGAATGTGTTAGAAGATGTATCAGAAGCTTTAAATCTTGGAAAGTAAATTGTTAATGTATTGCAAGTGCCACCACCACACCTTCCTAATATCCTCCTTTACTGTATTCACAGGGAAATGTGTCCTTCTCCTGTTCACATCCTCAAACTGTCCCTGTGACTTTTCTGAGCTCAAGGAGTTATTTGGCTCTGCCTCATCCCACTGGAGAGAACTCAATAGCTGTCACTTTCCAATTTCGAACATGGAACCGAGCGGGGCTGTTGCTGAAAAGTCAGTTTCTACACTGGTCAGGGGCTCTTGTCCTTGTTCTTAGTGATGGAAAACTCAAGCTGAGCCTCTGCCCACCTGGCCAGCCAGTGAGAGCCGTCATAGCAGGTGAGACATCACAGTGCCTTTGTATAGCCATCAACATCCTTACCCATAAGCCTGAGAGCAGTCATTTTTGAATGAATAAAAAATTGAGACAATGAGATATTCATAATCTCAGTAGAACTAACTACAGATTCTATTTTCCTTTTTAAATGGGAAACTCTACGTTGCTCATGGGTGAGTCAATGTGACATAAGTCTGTTTACATGAAAGTATAGTTGTTACAGAGTTTAAACTGTGACTTTTATTATCTTAATTTGAGGGTTGGCAATCAGAGGTAAACTTGAAACACTAGAAAACATTAGCCTGATCCTAGATAGTCTTGAGAAAATGGTTGGATCTCTTTTAACTGTCTTTCACACCCACACACTCTCTGATTATCAAAATACAGACAGTCTGGGACTTAGAATAGTTTGACATAATATTTTTCAACTTTACAGTGGTGAAAAACCCATATTCATTTCATAGAAATCATGCTTTGAACTTATAATTTTGACCTCCCTTGCCAGTCAGGTATATGGCAGATGCTCTCTCAGTGCTGGCAGCAGCAGCCAGCCATGTTACCTAGGGAGTCTTGTTATCACAGAGGCCAACAACCAACACTGTGCAGTGTTCTGTGAGGCCAGTGGGTTTTTTGGATACAGGCATTTGATAAATTAAATGAGATATTCAACACTTTATTATAAAAATGGGTTTTATCTTATTTTTTTCAAGTATAAGCTAAAGTATGTTCTTAGCATGCTTAACATAGGCCAGTGTAAGTTATGATGTTTTGTAGGTTAATTAGGTTTGTTAAAAGAATTTTTGGCTGTGATATTTTCAACTTAAGATGGGTTTATTGGGAGGTAATTCCATAGTAATTTGAGGAGTGTCTATAATTTAAGTTATATTTTTTCCCCTTCTGTCAGAGCAGCTACCTTGGGTAGAGGCTACATGTTTTGGAGTAAAACTCCTATAACTTGTAGAGAATATCATCTTTGAACATTAGGGACCATTTTGCATATGAGAATTAATGATGGTTTAAACTCAGCTGGAGCTGAGAATATGTCACTCCATGAATGTTGAATATGGAAGGGATATTTTGCTTAGGGTCTGAAAAGCTGGGAGTGAAAATAAAATTTTTCTTTCTTTTTATAAACCAAAATTATTGACCACCAGCATACTGAATTTCCTTGTGAGCTGAACTGAGAGCATTAATTCAGTTAGTGACCCGAATCCTGGTTTGTTTAGCATTACAATCTGTATGCAATAGTAGCTGGAACTGTTTATATTTTTTACATGGAGATATAGGTTACCCCCATATGTATATATGTATACACACACACACACACACACACATTAATTGAACTTTTTTTTGTTAGCCAGAACCCTTTTTCTTTTCTTTTCTTTTCTTTCTTTTTTTTTTTCTGTGTGTGGGGTGTCAGAGACTGTGAACCCAGGGCCTTGCACATACCATACCACAATTTTTAAGTTAGAATTATTACATGGAAAGACCACAAGAGCACCCCCCCCCATTTTGGTTTGTTCTCCTAGTTCTAGGATTATGGAATTTCTTTCAGAATTCTGTTTCAGAGTTAATTTCATCAAATATGTTTTAGCATCTTAGCAAAATCCTCTATCTTCTTGTTTACAGATGTTCTCACTTTCTAGAGCAGGATCTATGACTTTTGGGGTCATGTTAGAAACATGACCTACATAAGAGAATTATGAGTCCCCAAAACCAAGTCACTAGTGGGAGATCAAGCAGAAGGAAAAAGCTGGTTTCTAGAGCATTTGCAGGAGTTGGATTTATGTGCTCATTTGGGCAAGGAATACTAAAATATAATAATTATATGTAAGACTGAACTTCAGCAGGAAGAAAGACCACATTTTATTTGGAGATTACATCTCCACTGGGCTACAAAATGACTTTTGATTCCTGCAGGTTGATTTTTATCCTTAAAAAGCTGTGACTAGTCTGTACCTTTATAATTTATTAGATACATTAGTTAACTATGGGACCTCCCTCAGGTGATAAGATTAGACTCAAGCAGGTTTCCTAGCATCCTAGAAATCAAGCATTCACTAATTTGTTGTTTTTAAGTGAATTAAACTTTTTCTCTGGGATCTTCTTATTTCTACAATACAATTCCTAAAGATCTCAATTAATCACTCTTCCCTTCAGGGAAGTGTGTATCTGCCCCCTGAAGTAACCTCTTGTCCATTAATGTCAGACTTGGTCAAGTGACACATTTTGGTAAATGGATTCTAAGTGGAAGTGACATTGACACTTTGCAGTAGGAGCTTTAAGAGCCATAGCAAAACTCTGCCAAGTATTTTCTTCTCTAAGACATGAAGAACTGCAGGCCATGCATTCATACTTGGTCTTAGGTGAAAAGATCAGGTGCCACAGAATGGATGAAGATCTGCTGCTTGGAACCACAGACAGATGAACCTTAGTTTGTTAGTCACTGACACATGGGTTGATTGCTGCCACAAAATACTCTAGTGGAAGCTAATAAAAATTGCACTGGGCAATGTCCTGGGATGCTTGCTGTTCACTGATTCATCTCCCACACGCCAGTGTGAATTTTCGTCATAAAGCCTTGTAATGGAGCCAGCAGGAGATAATTCCATCATGCTCAGTTGGTTGCCAGTCCATGACTCCACCACCCTCTGTTCCATCATCTTAAAGAAGATTAGATAGTTCATTTTAGGATGCAAGAGACTGCTTGAGCAAGAACTAATATTTGTATTTAAAAAATAAAACTATAGTTATAGGTGAATATACTGTAGCAAATTTGGAAAAGAGAAAATGTAAAAATGACATAAAATGAAAACATAGTTTTCTCATCCAAATATGTAATTTTTAAGAATACTTCTGCCAGCTGCCAGATGTGGTAGCCCAGGCCTGTAATCCCAGAAGCTTGGGAGGCTGAGGAAGGAGGATTACAATTTCAAAGCCATCCTCGGTAACTTATCAAGGCTGTAAGCAACTTAACAAGAATCTGTCTCAAAATAAAATATTTTTAAAAAGGGCTGGGGATGTTGCTCTGTGGTTCAGTGCCCCCAGGTTCAATCTCTGGTAACAACAAAAAAAGAATATATCTGCCAACTTTTTTTGCATGTTTATATAAAACTTAAACACATCCACATATACCACATACATTTTAATGTAATGCTTTTTTAGCTTTACATTTTATTTTTATGAATATCTGTGCCTAATTAGTGCCTAAATTAGTATTTTTGTGAATGTTTAATTTGTTTATTATACCTGAGCATATCATTTTGTTTAAATTGTCTACTAAGATTATAAAAATTAACAATACATGCATGTAAGAAACATTTTTAATTTGAAATCTTGGATAATATCTGTACTTCTCAGTAGCTAAAGATATTATTTAACTAGATGAGACTAAAATATGCCCTGTGTTCTGTCATTGGAAATGTTTTCTCATCACAGGATAGTTCAAGGTCAGTTGTGGAAAATGTATTCCACAAAAGCCCTAGATAGAAGAAAGTACTCCTGTCTCCTGGTGTAGAATGCAGGACTATCTGCTCTGTGTCTTTATCCCTTTTATTCTGATTTCTTTTTCTCCCCTTCCCCCATACTTATCTGACTCAAAGAGTGATGAGAAAGTGAAAAACAGTGCTGGCAATGGGTATATAAACCATAATATTCCCAAATGAACAGAATAATTTTTGTTAGAACATAATAAGAACCAGACAAACCAGTCCATAACCGGCCAACCAGAGACAAAGTCTCCCTCGAATCCCTAACCCAACTCAACAAGCCGCTATCCAAGCTGACATGGACAATCCCTTCCTCTTGAGCAGGCTACAGGCTCACCTAATCACCTTCTCAGGATCTCCTACCAAAGCTCAAATCATTCCTCAGCCTTTCCCTGTCTCCCTTTGAGATCTCACACAGAAAAACAGCCCAGGGCACTTGAGGTGGGATGTGGTGGTCTTTGACAAGCAGACTTGCCATTGTCTGCATCTGCTGTTTTCAGGCACTGGTCCTGTACTGGGGTCCCTTATAACCCACTTTGTTTACCTCCAGGTGATGGATTAAATGATGGTCAGTGGCATTCTGTGTCCTTATCTGCTAATGGGAATCATTTGAGCCTGAAGGTGGACAATGATGTATCCTCTGCTGCCCATTCGCAGCGTGGGCAGATTCATTCTGCTAATACCTATTATTTGGGGGTAAGTAAAAGGCACAGGATATATTAATCAAATCTTCTTTGTGTCTTCCACATTCCAAGGTGACTGGTATTGCTAAATGAAAACTGATATTTTAGAATGATTTTTCTCTTTCAGTGATAGTCAGTTGGGAATTTTGATGGACAAAGACAATAAATTGTAGCCTAAAATGCAAGTCTACTCATTGATCTTATTTAAATGTGCACTAATGTGATTGATTTTAAATAGAGCTTCCTCTTGGGAGTTGTTCTCAACTACAGCTGCACGTGGCAATCTACTGGAAAGCTTCAAAAATGCTGGTGCAGGGCTGGGGTCATGCCACAGTGGTAGAGCACTTGCCTAGCATGTGTGAGGCACTGGGTTCCATTCTCAGCACCACATATAAATAAATAAAATAATAGGTCCATCAACAACTAAAAAAACATGCTGGTGCTGAGTTAACTAATCTTGTGTCCTGAGCCACAGGTTTTTTAAATGCCCTTCAGGTGATTTTAATGTGAAGACAATGTGGAGCATCCTTGTTGTCTATTTCTAATCCTTATCACAAGGAATTTCCCTAATCCCCAAAGGCTGTTACAACCTTTCGTTTTGATTTCATTTGTCAACATTATTACTGCATAGTTGCTTTATTCTGACTGCTGGCTCCTCCTCTCCCTGGAATGTTTCTTCAGCAACACCTGAAAGCTTGCTGGAAATGCTGACTCATTGCCCCTCACCTTCTGCATCATGATCTGCATGTGACCAAGATCCCAGGTGGTCTTCAGTACTTTAGAGTTTAAGAAGCCATCTATATGGAAGGGCACTATTATGTACAATAGAGCAAGATATTGTCTATTAATTTTTCTACTCTTGTTTAGCAATGCATTTTACCAAGACAACACCAGGCCATATCCTCTGGGCTCCAGTAAATGGAGCATTTGCTTGCTGGATGGGTCTTCGATTTAGTTCATCCAGGATCCCTTCAGCCAGCAAGATAGTGCCTCTGAGGGTAATGAATCTCTATCCCTGGGGTAGTCAAGTGAAAAATTTTTGCCACTAGATGCTTGGACCTGTCAATAGTAAGAGTTATGTCTAACCTTGGCTTAATGCCTTTCTTGATATTATTCCTGTTTTGCATTTTATAGTTGTTCCTTTCTAAAATAAGATTGGAATCATGATGGAGATAGATTTCCAGCCCAAAAAGAAAATATAAAACTCTCTCTAAGAATTGACAATGGAAACGCAAACCATGAATCCAGTTGTTTAATCTTTCAAGTTTCCTAGAGCAACCATGACTGCAAGAGGTAAAATAGTGTCAACACCCTTAAACATTGGACTGTGTACTTTTCTTGTTTGCTAAATATGGTACATTTCTGATCCTGAGAGGGTTTTACAAGATGTTTGCTATTTATGAAAGATTTTATAGCTCTGCAGAGAAACAAATTCCTTCAATACCAAAATGAGAATTTATACAAGAACTATAATTCAAAGGGTAAAAGATTCTGAAGCACTAAAAGGGATAGGAAATAAAATCCTGGCTGTATTGTTTAATGATACAAAATGAAGTACACTGGAGAAAAATGCTTTCAGATCACAGAATCATCTTTCATATTTTAACACATATTCAGAATATGCAATGCACAGAGCCATGAGCATAAGTACTTTCCATAAATATTTACACACTGATGTGATATGAATTGTTACTGGGAAATAGACCACATTCACACATTTATACAGCATTACTAATATTTCTTAAAAGCCTATAGAATGCAACATTATAGTATTTTTGAAGCTTCTCTTACTTCCTTCAAACTCATCTCCCAGGGATTTATTATCTTGCACTTCGTAGGTTTATCATCTATGTAAGTAATTTTAAGTAGTATTTTATTTTGTGCTGGTCCACTTTTAACTTAATACATAGGGTAAGACTGTGCATTCTTCCATGACTTCCTTTTATTCTTCTTCATTACTTTCTGAGATCCAGCCATGTATATGTGAATTGGCAAACTTAATTAATTTTTACTGCTGCATGGTTTTCAATGAATATTTTATCATAGTTTACTTATCTATTCCACTGTCTCTTTTTACTATTGATACATGTTTTGATTGTTTCCATATTTACTATTTTTTTAAAAAAAATATTAATAATTCTTGTACAGTTGCTAAGAATCATCTTACCAGTGATTTTTAAAATTTTCTTTATGTACCATATTATGGTGCTCAAATGTAGAGTTAGTTCAGTGAAGCAGAAGTGACATACTGCAGTTTAAGTGACATGTACTGGTTGTTAAGTTGCATTCATTAGAACTCACATAAGTTATGCACACAGACCTAGCTTTTGGTTCCTCCAATATATTCGACAGGACCCTAGAGATCTGGAGTTAAAACAGGCCTTTCTTGTGCATTTTCATAAAATTTTATTGTTAGACACAAAAAATTTCTTGCTAATATAGTTTCCAATGAGAAACTATTTCCCTAAGATGAGCGAAATTACAGATTATAAACATCCTAACAGGGAGGGGAGCTTGATAACTTTTCTTCATTATGACTTAACAGTTTTTCTGTTATAATTGCAAATTGGCACTTAGTTGCAAAAATATTTTCAGAATTTGCGATCCCAGCACTTTATTCCTAAGAAATGTATAAATATAGAGTGACCTCTATATGCATGGCTGTAAATAACCAGCTAATTCCCACAGTACAATTTTAGACACTAATTCAGACTTAGTCCTCTATAGATATTATGCCAATGTAAATGTATCTTTTTTTCCCTGAAGAAAAAATATATAATATTTAGCAAACTGAAGTACTGCTTTCATCAGGTAAAAACACACATGCAAATAAATACTCAAACATATCAGTTTGCTAATTTTTTTTAGATTAAAAAGGTATCTCTTATTTGTACTCCCAGGAAACCCAGTAGAGAAAATGTAGGATGAATAGATATGGAGTTCTGGCTTTTAGTAGATATATTATACTCAGAACTTTAATGCATGGGTGTTCCAGGTTTGTTCTAGGGCCACTCAGCTTCATCTTGAGAGGAACTCCACCCTGACAACCCCAGAATTAGGGTTATTTTAGACAATCACAAGAGTAGTTGGTGTCAGTGTTTCTGTTCATTTAATTCTCTTTTTAATTAGTGTCCATTGGTGCCAGAATATGTTTGACACTGAACAAGGAAATTTACTTCACCCAGTTCACACACTGTCACAACAACTGGGCTAATAAAGTGTTCCTGGGTCCACTAAGTGGAAGTCAGTTAATGACATTGATTCTTCAAAGAAATCAATATCCTGTGATCTGAGACACTCTACAACCAGTTCTCTTCCCCTTTATTTCCTAATGTAAGCTTAACCCCTTATTCCCAATTATGTTATAGCTATAGTCAACCAAATTTTGTTAGTACTTCACCCTAAAAGCATATATGTGTGCCTTGCTATTATAGTTAGGGTGACAGTAAATTTATTGTCCAAACCAGGACACTTTAGAGAATGAGAGGGATGATATGAGTAATTATGAAAGGACAGCAACATAAACCAAGACCTTCTGGTGGCATGGAACTATTTGCTATGTTATCTGCTATATTTTGGTCTGGATGTCTCAGTATGCAGTTTCTTCTTGTGAGAGAGATTCACCTACTCAACAGTGTTTTAGTCAACTTTGTGTTGCTGTGACTAAAAGACCTTGCCAGAATAACTTAAAGGAGGAAAAAGTTTTATTCTGGCTCCTGGTTTCAGAGGTTCAGTCATGGTCAACTGACTCCATACCTCTGGACCCAAGTTGAGGCAGAACCTCATAGTAGAAAGCCATGACAGAGGAAAGCAGCTCACAGTAGTCAGGAAACAGAGAGCTGTACTTACTAGGGACAAAATATAAACCCCAAAGTCATGCCCCCGGTGACCTACTTCCTCTAACCAACATCCTACCTGCCTACAGTTACCACCTAGTTGGTCCATATTAGTGGATGAATCCATTAATTAGGTTGTAACTCTCTATCATTTCACTTAGAACATTCTTATATTGTCTCACAGATGAGTGTTTGGGGCCACCTCATATCAAAACCATAACAAATAGCAGTATTTTTTATTTCTCACATTAGAACTCTGATTTAATTATCTTTTTCTCAGCCTAAGGATGTGTGTGTGTGTGTGTGTGTGTGTGTGTGAAGTGTTCTTCAAATAGCTGTTTCTCCATAGCATATTGTATTTTTGGTGCCTGCTATTGGGGGTGACTAAAAGTTAAAAATTCCCTGCTACAGGATCTTTGTACTATT